CAGCAGGGATGGGGCAGAGAAAGAGGGAGAAAGGGAGAATTTCAAGCAGGCTCACTGCTGTCAGTGCAGAGCCCAACTTGGGGCTTGAACTCACAAACCGTGAGATCATGACCTGAGCCAAAATCAAGAACTGAATGCTCAACCAACTGAGCCACCCAGGCGCCCCACCCCCAACCTAATATATATTATGTAGTTACAATATATCGTCAAATCTAAGACATCGTCATTGGTAAGATGCAGCGTTGTTTCAAGTAGCGATAAAAATGGGGGAAGAAAACACGGTCAATCCCTCGACGCTACCGACTAGAAGACCCATTCCAGACTGTAAAACATTTCAGAAACGTTCAAATGGGGAAAAACACGCATCTGCACTCAATGGAATATGGCAGACGTTGCTATGTCTCTCTAAATAACCCTCTATTCTTTCATCCATTGAACAAATATCTATTGGCCACCTACTTTGTGCCGGGCACAGCTCCAAACACTTCACGGGGGAAGGTCTCCTTTTCAACCTTTACAAAGGTACTATGGGGGAGGTGCTATTATGACACCCATCGCATAGCTGGGCAAGCTGAGGCCCAGAGAGGCAGTCCAGGGTCACACAGTAAGAAGGGGGCAGAACTGGGATTCTGAATTTAGGCAGTCTGGCTCCAGACCACCACTCGGGATCGTGCTATAGAAGCAGTGACCAAGACAGACGGAAGTGCCTCCCTTCGCAGACCTGACAGTCTAGCAGGAAGTGAACAAGATAAACAAGGAAAATGTAAAGCGGAGATTTCTCCCTTCTGGTGTTCCTGTACCCTCCCATCCACCGTCTACCGTCCTCTCTCCCTCACAGCCCCGTCTGCCCTGCTCCCTCCCCCACGCTGGGGTCTCCTGCGGCTCTATTTGGCTCTATTTCCTATTTCCGGGAGGAGCCACCTTTGCGGTGAGTCAGTGGGTCCCGTCTTAGACCCTGTCACTGCAAGGGTCTGCAGGTCCCAAAGTCCTGGGAGAAAAGGGAATTGCCAGGGTCACTCAGAGAGTCAGAGACAGGTGGGAACCAACCCTAGTCTGAGGGCAGGTAGAGACTCTCTCTCTCTCTCATGAGCTTTCAGGTAGCTCTTTTGTCCCCTGTCTCTGAATCTCCCAGCTGGCTCCATATGTATCTGTCCATCTCTTTCCCTGTCTCAGAACCTCTGTGCTCCTCCCCTCTCTCACTCCGCGTCTCCCTCCCCTCCGTCTCTACTCCCGATCTCTTCTAGCCCTGTCCCTCCCCATCTCTTTCTCGCCCCTCTCTTTTCACCTCCTTCTCCAGTCTCTCCCTCTCGCTCATCTCTCCCCAACCCCCCTGCCTTTCCCTCCTCCTAACTCTTTCTAACCCCATCTCTCTCTCCCCCACCCTCTCTCTCCCTGTCTCTTTCTACCCCATTCCCCTGCCAGGTCTCTTGCCCTCCAGCACATCTTTGTATCTCTGTTCTCTCCATTCAGCATCGCCGTCTCCCCAGAAGCCTCACAATGAAACCGGGAGTCACAGCTACCCGTCTTCCCTGCACCGGTCTCCCCACCACCACCTTGGCTGCGTCTGCCTTCTCCCCAGAATGAGGGAAGCGGGTCCTTCGGAGCTGAAGGGAGGCAGTGGACTCAGGGGCATCCACAGAGAGTTGGTAAATCCCTCTGCAACCTCCACTCCAATTCTCCAACTCCATCGGACTCCTTTGTATCACAGAGGAAGACTGACCAGGACCCCAGGGCCCTCCTTTTTCTGGTCCCCACCCACCCGGAAGTCCTCCTTCGCATCTGACCTCAAGCTCTCCTGCTGCCCGAATCCACCCTGGGCTTTCCCACGCCCTAGGGCTGGGATGAACCCCCAGTGTCCGGGTGTGAGCCTGTGAACCGGATCTCCCCAGCCAGGGCGGGGCTGAGACTGGGGGGAAGCCTTCAGGGGACCTGCACCCCTATCCCAGGAGGCTGGAATTTCTCTCCTTTCATTTCCTTATTGTCTCTGAGGAAGGGTGTGACAGCGGGCAGAGGAAGGCGGTGTGAAACCAGAAGCCTAGTTTTTGGTCCCAGCCCCAGTCCAGATCCTCAAGCAGCCCCCGGACACTCGGAGAGGCTTCAGAGTTCCCATCTCTAACAGGGGGGAGCACTCGGACCAGCTGATCTGTAGAACTGGAGTCCAGGGGGGACACCCCAGGGTGCTAACTTTCCAATTTCCTTCCAGATGGGGAGCCTGATCCGGGGTGTCAATCACCCCAGCAGGAGGGTGCTGTGCGCAGGAAGCAGTTTGGGGACCCTCTTAGTTCTTAGACGCTGAGTGAGTGCAGATGTTTCTCTATTGTTCAGACCCAAGGGGGAGGAGGTGGCTTTGCTGGTGGCTGATCCAAAGGCTGGGGGTACCATCAGATCGTGTTTCCATTTCCAGCCCCCAACATGCTAACTCTTCCAAAATATGCCCCCCAATGCTAATCCTCTCTAGACTCTCCAGACTGTCCTTGGATATCTGACAGATTCCATACAAATTCTTAAACTTCAGACTGTGCCCCAAATGACAACTCCTCCGTCCTTAGACCCCGCAGGGCTTACTTCTTCAAGATGTGACCCCCCCACCCCACCAACACAGATCGGCAGTTGGTTCTCTTAAATCATGTCCCCAGGCTGAACTCTCTAGGGGTTCAGCTGGGATCCCTCACTCCCTGGGAGCCTCCACGTCGGACCTGGTCTGTGCCTTCCCCACTGCACAACTGATATCTCCAGTAGGTCCCAGCTCCGTCTCTCAGCACCCCCAATCCCTTCCCTGGTCGGCCCGCCCCACCCCACGTGCACCTCACACCTCCACAGCCCCAGGACTGGCCCCTCCCGGGCACCCTGCCAAGCCCCGCAGGCCTGGGGAACCAGGAGTCCCACCCTAAGCTTCAAACCCCAGACCCAGAACTCAGGCACGGTGGGGCCCCTGGAACCTCCAGATCTCAGAATCTTTGGAGCTCTCAGCCATTCCAGCCCCACTCCGACCTGAAGCCTAAAGCCCCCTTCCAGGCTAGGAACCCAAGTGTCTGGACCCCCATAACCCTCCTACCAGGACCCCTCCCCCGTCACTTCACAATCTTGACTCTCTAGAAAGAATGAGCTAAGGGGGAGCCCTTGCAGCAACTGGAATGGGAGTTAGACTCGGGTAAGGACTTTCGGGCAGCTGAGGTGCGGGAATTAAGATACACCCCGCCCCCTACTCCAAGGGCGGCCTTGTCGAAGGTGGGACAGTAAGGACGTTGGCAATTACTGGAGATAACTGGAAGGGGGGGTGGTGGTGTGAAATCTGAAACCCTCCAGCCTCCAATTAGGAGTATCCCTGCTGAGGGTCTCTGAAAACAATTAAACCACTGAAGTTCAGTCGGGAGGCGTAAGGATCAGGAATAGGGTTGGAGGGTGGAGACTGACCCCTCTCCAGCCAATGCCGTGGCTCACATCTGCTCTCAGGCTCCCAACTCTGACCCCATCTGGGCCCCCATCTATCTGAGCCCCAACTCTCAGCCACCTGTTATTACAGACTCCCCCAAACCATGTCTCGCCTCTTTGAGCACCAACCCCTATTTTCTGATTCTTAGACCGCCACCCCCGTGTTTATCTCCCAGCCCCCAATTCTGATTTCTACCCCAGAACCCCCATCTTTAACTATATTCTAACCTTGAGTTCCCGCCTCACGCTTTCCTTCATGGTGACCCCTTTCTCTCATCTCTTCGTTCCGGTCTTCCTCCCCC